GCAGCACAAGGACGCCACCTTTGAGAGCAGTGGGCTTGGGCAAAGCAGTCTCTTCATCATCTGTTTGAAAAGAAGGCTGTTTTTATAAACATGCCCGGCCAGTACGCTTTTCTTCTCCCACTTGCCTCCCTCCCGTCCTCTCTTATGTCCCTGCGGTCAGTCGGAGAACACTTTATTCTGACCCCAGTTTTGTTTTCTTTTGTTCTCCTCCTCTTCAAACTGTATTCACAATGGCCTCTTTCCTCACTGTTAAACCTTCCAATTTCAGAAAATGGTGGCAAAGCAGGGAGGTTGAGAGCTAGCCCCTGTTGCCAAAATAATTGGCAAAAAAAGACATGTGGATGATTAAAACATAAATGAGTTAAACTTAAAGTGATCCTGTGTGCTCAATAATATAGTGTATTTTAGGACTAAACATCTTGGATTTAACAGTATACTTACTAAGTATTCATTTAATTATTGAGTTTGCTCTCTCAGCTTCTTGCCACTCCAACATTTTCCAAGGCACTCCTAATTTCTTACAATTATTTTAATGTGGCAATTTCAGAATAATTTGTATTAATTTAAAGATGTGATTATGAAATAGTTTTTTGTCCTAGTGGTTTATTTTTCTTAGATAGTGATACTGATTTTCATGAGCTGGATTAAATGCACTCATTCATTTACTTAAATCATTATTGAGCACCAACTGTGAGAGCAAACTCAATATCAAGCTTGAATAACTCATATCTTGGCTTTAGAAACTTTTTTTAGGATTTGATTATAAAATCTCTCTTTAACCTTTAGCAGATGTTTTAGATTGACTGAACCCAAGAAGCCTCAAACTGTATATTTTTAAAATTTTACTTTTTGTGTGTTACACTGTTGGGAGAAACAAAAGAAAGATGGAAACTCAGTCAAATGCAGACACCCAAACACACATGAAATTCTGCACATAAGTCCAGTGGTTTGCTGTCCATCAGTCCCCACTGAGCCGGCGATGAGGCTGCTGTGGCGGGAGTGTTGCTTTTGGCTGCAGGGAGTGCTGAGAGAGGTACTAGAAGTTAATTCTAGGCAGGTTATTGTGGAAAGGTTCCTGAATGCCAAGACAGGAAATGAGAACTTTCTACTGTAAACTGTGGGAAGCCGTTGAAAGTTTCTGAGAAAAGCAGGTTTCTGGAGGGGTAATCTAGCAATAGTATAAAATACAGGTTTGACAGCAGAAGACGGGGCTTAGAAATGTAGGTTTGGAGACTTACAAAGTCTGGACAAGCAAGAATAAGTTTATAAACTAAGGTAAGAAATGGGGATTAGGTTATGGGTATATATGAAAGAGAAAATGATTTTGTGGGAATCATACCATCTCAAGCTGGCTAGTATCCTGGACTTAAAACCTCCTTGGAGCAGTTTCTCATAACTATCACCACCTGTGTGGGTACCCAGCCGTTGGGCATTGTTGAAGAAGCACCAGCTGGCTCTGGCCGCAGCGGCTCAGTTGGTTGGAGCATTGTACTGTAAACCGAGAGGTCCTGGGCTTGATTCCTGGACAGGACACGTGCCTAGGTGGGGATTCAGTCCCTGGTCAGGGTGCATATAAGGGACAACCAATCTGTGTTTCTCTCCCTCTTTCTCACCCTGCCTTCCCCTCTCTCTAAACTCAATAAGCCCGTCCCTGGTGAGAATTTAAAAAATAAATGAAAAAAAAAAAGCACCAACTGGAGCAGCTGATACCATTTAAAGGGAATAATTTTAAAATGCAGTGTTGTTCCAGAGGCTGTTTACCTGCTCCATTTGGCTTCCTTCTCATTCCTCATTGTAGCTGTTTCTTTTTTAACTACTCTCCTCAGCCACCCTGAAACCCAGACTTACTTAAAGCTACCTCAACTGTTATTTCCTTCCCTTAGCCGCCAATAATCTTTCACCTGCTGCTGCTAGATTAATCTCTGTGAGGTCCACATGTGATCAGAGGCATAAGTTCAAACTTTCAGTAACTCAGGATGAAACCTTCTAATGACTAACTCTTCTATATGTACTTTTGATCCCACCTCCTTTTCGTCTCCCTAAAATCCCTCTTTCATAAATTCTACACCTCTTTCCTACATCTTCGATTTCTTACATTCTGCTAGTTCTTGGAACTCAGCCTACTGGCCAGAGCAAGTCTTCCCATCGCATCCTGGCATGTTTCCCTTCAGAAGTTCTCTGTTACCTTTAAAAAATAAAATCCAAACCCCTTAAGAGACTTTGTTTAAAAAAACAAAAACAAACAAAAAAAAACCCAAAAACCAAAACCTGCATTTTCTAGCTCTAAAGCCCTTGGCATTAATCTACCATTCTATTCAGCTTCTTCCTTCTGCAAAGTTATTTTTAAAACAGAAAGTCTTCGCTATTTACCCAGTCATAAAAAGCAAAAATTCTGCCTTTCTTGCTTCCTTGTCCTCTCTCATGTTTATCTAGGAAGTTCCCAAGATCTGTTGATTCTGCCATGTGGCTGAATGTCATTCTTACCTCTGTGTCCCTTCTGTCTGTGCCCGACTTGGATTCTGGTCACTACCCATCATGACTCCTCCTACTTTTTCTGCCAGTTGTTTCTTCACACTCTGGTTCAGGTTCCCATTGCTGTTACAATAATATTCCTAGGAATAACTCTAATTGTGTCCTGATGGTGTACCTTCTCAATTAGGCTATTTAATATTGGACCCCTCCTCACCTATACACTCTTGATTTCCTTTGCCATGTTCCACTTTGTCTTTATTTTTCTTCCAAAGCATGTATCTTCTAATGAACTCTACAGTTTCCTCAGTTTCGCTGTGTATTTTATGTTCCCCACCATACTCTCTAGTGTAAGCTCCACAATTTGGTATTCTCATCTGTCTACCAACGTAGCCTAAGCGTCTGGTACATAGTAAGCATTCAATACATATATGTTGGATATAATAATGTCAATTTCCATTTTCAAATTCTCTTCTTTTCCCCTTGCTTATGGGATACAAACACCTAAGAAAATCTTTCAAAAGCTTGTCTTACGTGGCTCCAGCCTCCTCCGGCCACCTCCTCTCCCCACTGCACTTCATCTCACTGTGTAACTGACCCTCCCAGGTCGCTGTTTCTTGTTGTTCCTAGACTTGTCATGTTCTCTCAGCCCTCTCTGTTCCTTTTGGGTCTGCTCTTCTTCCAGGGATGCATTTCTGCCTCTCCCCCATGTGGGGAGAACAGTTCCTCCTCTTTCAAAATCTAGCTAGACGTTATGTCCCCAATGTCTTCTCCAGCACGGCCAAGCAGAGCTAGTTGCTCCCTCTTCTTTGCCTCCATTGAGTTTGACGTGGTTTCCTGATTCAGTAGTTTTACACACTGAGCCCTTTGTCTCCTCCTCTAGACTCTGTGCTCAGCCATGTCCAGTTCTTCCATGTGCTTGCCCAAAAAACGATCACAGCGCCTGGCACAGTAGTAAGTAGTGACTTGACACAGTGATTCAAAAGAGGAGCTACCAGTGCATTGAACCATGTAGCCAAAGGCTTTCAGTGCCATCACCATGCATTGTCCAAGTCGTTGCTGGAATTTCAGTTTCTAAGAGTCTTCTTTCAAAAATTAAAGCAGAACCAAACCCTCACCCACAAACCTGTACCTCCCTCGTGTTCCCTGTTTCCATGAACGAAGGGTGCCACTCCACCGATGTGAATCTGAGCGTGAGGAATTATCTGCCTCCCCGCCCCCCATCAGGCCACCCAATCAGTCACGAAGGCATCTGGACTTCGCTTCCCAGACATCTCTCAAACTCCTCTGCTTCCTTGCAGTCTTGCTGCCAGGAGCCTTTACTAGCCTCTCATCCCCTGTCACCACAGCACACTACCTGGCACATGGTAGGGGTTCCGAATATATTTGTTGAATGAATGAATCTCTTGAGTTAAAACCATTTCAGATGACATCAGGCAGACTGCCAGACTATAAGATTGAGTTTCTCAGGACAGCTTGTCCTGGTGATTTTTCTGAAAGACAGTGTTAAAGGTCTAACAGAAAGGTTTTTGGACCAGCCCCAGCTCTAGATGCCATTTGACTTTCTGAAAAGGTGAGTCCCTCCCTGCCCCCCTTGATTTTTCCCAGGAGGTTATTTTCTCTGATTATTCCTGTCTTAAAAATTCAAGTCATAGTATATTTACTTCACTGGGATGTGTAAGTTCTCATGTAAGATGGGAAAGAGTTTGTTTCATTTCAAGATATGAAAGATGTCAGAGTGTTTGTGGCCTTTAAGGAAGGGTCCCCACTAAGCATTACAAGTTTGAATGTCCTCAAATGTAAAGTTATTGGGATTAGTCTAAGTGGTCCCTAAAATCACTCTTGAATTTCAGTTTCTGAGAGTCTTCTTTCAAAAGTTAAAGCAAAACCAAAAAGGGTAGAGGAATTGAGGCAATTAGAAAATCTAACAAATAACGAGTAATCTAAAATCAGTCAGTAACCCTAAGATAGAGCCACACACTCAACAGATTCCAGCGCCTCTGCCGGTCTAGGTAAAGCTGGGTAGTAGGAAGGAGAGTTGTGGGTGGTGGAGACGTTGGCACTGGAATAGACAGTTGATAAATGTTTTCTCTCTCTTTTCTCAGCAGTCAGTGTTATAGTGATTATATCTGCCAAGTCTTATTTGAGAAATTGCTGGGCCAGTAGTTACACTCACTGTCATTTGTCTCTTATGATGCCCCCTCCCTGCCTTGCGGGAAGTCTCTGCTGTGTGAAGACTCCTCCTCCTCCTCCTCTTCTTTCACCTCCTTCTCCTCCTCCTTCTCAAATCTAAGTTACAGTTAGGCAAATTTGGTTGCAGTCTTCCAAATCCCTAGGGTTTGGCTGACTGTCCCCAGGCTTTAGAACATGTTGGTGTAACTTCCATTCCAAAAAACAGAAAGAGAAACGGAACTTCAGTCATGTGGTTTCTGTTATCTGTAACCATGGAAAACGTTGGCCATCTGTGAGGCTCCCATTTTAACACTTTTTTTCTCTCTCTTTATTTCCATCGTTTTCTTGGGAAAAACAAGCTGAGGAAGTGGAGAGGCTGGCGGCGATGCGTTCTGACTCCCTTGTCCCAGGTACCCATACCCCACCCATCCGGAGGAGGAGTAAGTTTGCCAACCTGGGAAGGATTTTCAAGCCTTGGAAATGGAGGAAGAAGAAAAGTGAAAAGTTCAAACACACATCTGCAGGTAAGATTATTTTTCCTTCATTTCTCACTGGGCTTTTGTTGACTTCAACTTTGAATGTTGATTAGTAGACTTTAATTACTGTTGGTTGTCAGAATCAAAGGGGAAAAAAATCAAACCTTAAAATTGCTCTTGTCTTTAATAATTATTCCATATGATAGAGACTGGCTTTTAGATTCTGCGTTTTCTTGTGTTTCAAGTATTTGTTATTGTTGTTTTTTAATGAAAGAAGCATCACTTTTATATGATCTATAAATAGCTGAACTTAGAACTCCACCTTTTCTACAACTGAATGGTTTCATTCTAGCATTGGCAACCCATTTCTTAATTTGCCTCACTATTTTCACTACTCCAGTAAAAATCAACACACAGCAGAAAATAAGTTATATATAGTTGTTGGCAGAAAAGGTTATTTCATGGAGGAAGAGTCTTGAATCGATGACTCTTGGATATGGCACGAAAACACGGGAGAAAGGAAATGAAGCATCACTGATGACAAAGATAATTGTACAGTTTGTAGCCTAGTGAAGAGCAGAAGAACTCAAGGCAAGTCAGCATAGCTATGGGGTTAAGAGCAGAGACTCTGGAGTCTGAGTACCTGGCTTCAAGTCCCAGCTCTGATACTTGGTAATTATATGGCCTCAGTTTCCCCATCTATAAAACAGGGTTAAGAATTGTACCTTACATAACTTAAAATTGTGGAGAGTTTATATGGCATGCTATGTGGTTATTTTTAAATGAGAAAGAGTGTGCAGAGGGTAATGTATAGTGAAAGAGTTCTGATTTCACCCTGCTTTAGATGAAATGATAGAAGAGCTATGCAGATTCTTTTTGTTTGTTTTGCTTTGATATTGCTAATTATGTGCCCAGGTCATTCCGGGCCTACTCTAGCCCTTTTATTTCCTTCTCCTGCTAGGCCCTTAAAAAGTCAACCTGCTCACTGTCCTCCTCAGGTTTCTCACCTCCTCTACATTTCAGTCCTCTCTCCCTTTTCCTCACCCCCAAACTAACTATGAAATAGGAGATGATCTGTTTCTTGTACCCAGCACTGTTCCACAGATCCAATAACTTTAATGCTAATTGCTTTGGGAGAATGAAAGAGAATAACAAACATAGGGAAGTTGCAAAAAGTCTTGAAATCTTAAACAGTCCTCATGGTAGATGCCTTCAATTTATGTTTCTCAGATGAAGAAACTCTGACTCTGTTTCTTAGATGAAGGCCCCAGTGTCCAGCTGCTGTCTACTAACTCCTGAGATTAGAATGAACTTCTGAATCCCATGAATCTCTAAATTGTCCATTGCCCTCTGATTGAATCCATTCACCTGACTGCATTCTCTGGCCCCTTGGTCATTGGGCAGATCTGTGAAGGTGTACCTGCAGGTCATTCATGTGTTCCCAAACTCTACTGAGGGATTTACCAGCAAGCGAAACTCTCTAAGTGGATGACTCCTCTGAATCCCCCCTGCCATGAGGTGACAAGGGAAGGGACACTTAGACCATTGCTTTGGAGTGGAGAAATCTAAATGAAATACATTCTTTAAACAAAGTGAGGCATAAAACACATGAACCAAAAAAAAAGAAGTATTCTATAAGCTCTGAAAATAATAATAGCAAAGATTCAACAAGGTCCTTTATAATGTTCTTCCTTGCTTTGTTATGAAAAATGGTTTATGATGACAGTGATTCAAATGTATATTTCTATTTATCAGCATGACTCCGTGTGCGATGAGGTGGTAGAAGCACTTCTTCCTGGCAAATCAGGAGCTTTGCTTAGTGCATTTGGCAAGGCCATAGGCAAAGCTCCAGTGTTTGTCACACTAAAAGTCACCTGATCAATTATGCTGACTTCTTCAAGATTTTGGGAAACTCATCCTATGATAGATGCAAATACAATGGCATCAAATTACTCATGAATCATAAAAACTCTGAAAAAAAACTTTCATTTAAAGTTGGGGGGAAAGAATTAAAAAACATGTGACAAGCAAAGTTGCAACTTTAATCATTCTAATTTTTAACTATTCTTATCAAGTTCTTATGATGTCTATGGCCAAACTGATTAAATTAGCAGCTGAAAGTGATATTTGTATGCGGTTTTTGTTCTTTTGATTTGTTTTGTTTTGTTTGTAAGAGACATTCAGGTTCCGAATTAGAGAAGCTGAATGATAGACTGTGGAATATCTTTATATCACAGTTGATGGATGGGTTCATGATGTAACTGAAACTACTCCATTTTTTTTAAGTCAGTGGTTTGCAATGTAGTATTCTTTGTACTTAACTGGATTCAGAAATATTATTTCTTATTTTTGGAAAGGAGAGACATTCTGTACTAGTTTTTTTAGCCCAAATGAGAAAAATGCTGACAACATAAAGATGTTTAATGTCATAAATTGTAGGTATGTTCAAGTAATACTTTGAATTACAAACTTTCCTGTGCACAAATGAGATTCAAATATTAAATACACAAGAAGATTAACTGATTGTGAGAATGTTAATTGGTTGGCCAGTTTTAGCTGGTAGCATATATTTGTCTTGGATGTGTGTGTATATAGCTCCTTTCATATGGGTGATAATGTCCACAACTTTAAATACAAAAAATAAGTCCATATATTGCATTTATATTATGTGTTTATATTTTAAACTGTGTGCTTTTTTTGTACACATGAAATTACATTACACAGTGCATACTTGACCTGTGATTTTTTTTCCACAATGAGTTACACTTATAATTTACCATAAGAGCTTTACTGTAGTTTTACTGTAACTCAAGGTATGGGACATGTGTGTCTGTGTATATGCAACACCTTCAAAGGTACACCCAGAAGTATTGCTTTGCAAGTTGTATAGCAATAAAAAAACTGCATTAGAAAATTATGACCTCAACATTTTCCTCAATTTTGGCATCAACAGCTACTATGTGACTTTTCCAAAGGTAGATCTTCATGTTTCAATGCAGCTCATTCATCCATTCTATTCCAAGCTGAAGGCCCATGTCCTTAAAAGGTCTTCAGCATTAAGACCCAGAGACTGAGCTCTGCATGGTGGTTAAATCACTACAGGACGAAGTTTCTCTCAGGAGCATCTCTGCATCACACGTCAGTAGGGGGAAAGCAGTAATGCATAGAACATATTGTAAAGCAATAGGTCCTTAAGGGGGTGATCTTGATGAGCTTTTTAGCCTATCCTCAGAGGCTCCACCCAGGCTCTAGCAAGCAATGAGCCTGGTACCCAACTTCTTTTGTGGAATTGGCAGTGGGTGTCCACAGCACATCCTGACACCTGCCCCAGGAACAAAAACTTGTGATAACATCCTCCCTAAGATAAAAAAAGACAGTGCCTCCTCAAATAATCAACTTCAGCCATCTTATCCAAATTTCTTGAAAACAAGGACTGTATTTGTTTAAAAAAAATGGACCTGGCAGGAATAGCTGTAAAGATCCCACCAAGTAATGCTTTCATTTCCTTTGAACAGAAAACCCTAAGCTACAGGGGTTGGCCCTGCAAACTACTATGTGCCAAAGGAAACAAATGTTTCCTTTGTGCATGTAAGCTTTCCTGCATACCTATGGCCTTGAAGGAAAACAACAACAACAAAACTTACTGAGTGCCTATCACATGCTGAAACTGTACCTGGCCCTGGGAATGTAACTGTGAGCGAAACTAGACCTTGTCAGTGACCTCATGGTCATGGTCTATACAGTGTAGATGGAGAGGCAGATGATCAAATCACAAAAAGAAACATGAGGTTACAGCAATGAAAAAGGCAGTGAGAGAAAGGTACTTGGGAGAGTGAGAGAGAGACTTGACTCAGTCTGAGGGATCAGGGAAACTTCTGTGAGGAAGAGTGGTTTGGTGTGGGATGGGAGGGTGGCATAGGAATTTAGAAAAGGAACACCCCAGGCAGCAGCACAACCTGTGCAGGGTCCCTGCAGTAGGAGAAGCAGGTGAGAGGTCTGGGAAGGCAGGAAAGACCCGTGGATGCAGAGTGGAGAGCTGGAAGTGTGGTATGGAATAAGGCTGAGGCTGGAGAGATACCCCAAGATTGGGCCTTCACTGGGCCTGCATCCTGTAGAACAAATTAGACAAGAACGTGAGTGGTTACAAATAGCCCACTTAGGAGGTCATTGTGCAGATGATAGTGACTCGGACTAGTATTTGGTGGTAGGAATGGATGGATTTGGGGGCAGTTATAAGGAACAAGTGATAGGGCTTAATGACAGTCCTTCCTTGGAATGAGTATTTTGGGAGAGTGACAGGTTTGGAGGAGTGGGGGCAGGGCAGGAGTAAGGGGGAGAAAAGACTACAAGTTTTCATATGTATGAGTTAACTTTGTGATAGCCATATTTGGCAGTTGAATATATATGGAAAGCAAAGAAGAAGTCTGTGCTTGCTATCTTAAGTTGGGTCACTTGCATATATATGTTGTTAGACTAATGACCTTGTCTAAGATTGCTTAGGGAACAAGTGCAGAATAGGAAGAAAGAGAGTCAAAGATGGTCTAATAGATAAAGGAAGAATATCATCACTAATGACTGGATAGAGAAAGATGAACCTGGAAAGGAGTTAGAGGACAGAGGCTAGAGAGGTGGAAAGAAAACCAGAGGAATGTAGTGTGATAGGAACCAGGAGTGGAAAATGTTTCAAGGAAGGTATCATTAACTGTGTTCAGTGCTATGAAGTCAAGTGATGTACAGAAAAATGCCCATTGACTTGAGTGATTCTGATTTACTAGAGGTCATTGATGATTTAGCAAAAGCTATCTGGGTAGATTATTTGGGAATAGATGCCAGATTTGTGTGGAATGAAAAATTAGTAGGAAATGGGGGAAAATTAGGATACGTCCTCTGTAAGTCTGACTGTGAAGTGGGGAAACAAGACAGGACAAGTATGGGTGATGGAGGAAACGTATGTGTATCTATAGGGGCTTGTGTGTGTATTTTGATCAGAAGTGGGATGTGTGCCTTCTGATTTGTTTTTGTCCTTTTACGATGAAAGGAACATAAGC